CGCGCACAGAAAAGTTCGGCGCCCGCGACGACGGCCGTGCCTGCGCACAAATGCTAAGGAAGCGCACGGATCCCTGTAGGCGTAGGGAAAAGCGTCCAACGACCCAAAGATTGTTGCATCTTCAGGTGGCCCATGTTCAAATACACCCACCAGAGCAACTCCAGCTTGGTTCGCGCGCACAGAAAAGTTCGGCGCCCGCGACGACGGCCGTGCCTGCGCACAAATGCTAAGGAAGCGCACGGATCCCTGTAGGCGTAGGGAAAAGCGTCCAACGACCCAAAGATTGTTGCATCTTCAGGTGGCCCATGTTCAAATACACCCACCAGAGCAACTCCAGCTTGGTTCGCGCGCACAGAAAAGTTCGGCGCCCGCGACGACGGCCGTGCCTGCGCACAAATGCTAAGGAAGCGCACGGATCCCTGTAGGCGTAGGGAAAAGCGTCCAACGACCCAAAGATTGTTGCATCTTCAGGTGGCCCATGTTCAAATACACCTACCAGAGCAACTCCAGCTTGGTTCGCGCGCACAGAAAAGTTCGGCGCCCGCGACGACGGCCGTGCCTGCGCACAAATGCTAAGGAAGCGCACGGATCCCTGTAGGCGTAGGGAAAAGCGTCCAACGACCCAAAGATTGTTGCATCTTCAGGTGGCCCATGTTCAAATACACCTACCAGAGCAACTCCAGCTTGGTTCGCGCGCACAGAAAAGTTCGGCGCCCGCGACGACGGCCGTGCCTGCGCACAAATGCTAAGGAAGCGCACGGATCCCTGTAGGCGTAGGGAAAAGCGTCCAACGACTCAAAGATTGTTGCATCTTCAGGTGGCCCATGTTCAAATACACCCACCAGAGCAACTCCAGCTTGGTTCGCGCGCACAGAAAAGTTCGGCGCCCGCGACGACGGCCGTGCCTGCGCACAAATGCTAAGGAAGCGCACGGATCCCTCTAGGCGTAGGGAAAAGCGTCCAACGACTCAAAGATTGTTGCATCTTCAGGTGGCCCATGTTCAAATACACCCACCAGAGCAACTCCAGCTTGGTTCGCGCGCACAGAAAAGTTCGGCGCCCGCGACGACGGCCGTGCCTGCGCACAAATGCTAAGGAAGCGCACGGATCCCTCTAGGCGTAGGGAAAAGCGTCCAACGACTCAAAGATTGTTGCATCTTCAGGTGGCCCATGTTCAAATACACCCACCAGAGCAACTCCAGCTTGGTTCGCGCGCACAGAAAAGTTCGGCGCCCGCGACGACGGCCGTGCCTGCGCACAAATGCTAAGGAAGCGCACGGATCCCTCTAGGCGTAGGGAAAAGCGTCCAACGACTCAAAGATTGTTGCATCTTCAGGTGGCCCATGTTCAAATACACCCACCAGAGCAACTCCAGCTTGGTTCGCGCGCACAGAAAAGTTCGGCGCCCGCGACGACGGCCGTGCCTGCGCACAAATGCTAAGGAAGCGCACGGATCCCTCTAGGCGTAGGGAAAAGCGTCCAACGACTCAAAGATTGTTGCATCTTCAGGTGGCCCATGTTCAAATACACCCACCAGAGCAACTCCAGCTTGGTTCGCGCGCACAGAAAAGTTCGGCGCCCGCGACGACGGCCGTGCCTGCGCACAAATGCTAAGGAAGCGCACGGATCCCTCTAGGCGTAGGGAAAAGCGTCCAACGACTCAAAGATTGTTGCATCTTCAGGTGGCCCATGTTGAAATACACCCACCAGAGCAACTCCAGCTTGGTTCGCGCGCACAGAAAAGTTCGGCGCCCGCGACGACGGCCGTGCCTGCGCACAAATGCTAAGGAAGCGCACGGATCCCTCTAGGCGTAGGGAAAAGCGTCCAACGACTCAAAGATTGTTGCATCTTCAGGTGGCCCATGTTGAAATACACCCACCAGAGCAACTCCAGCTTGGTTCGCGCGCACAGAAAAGTTCGGCGCCCGCGACGACGGCCGTGCCTGCGCACAAATGCTAAGGAAGCGCACGGATCCCTCTAGGCGTAGGGAAAAGCATCCAACGACTCAAAGATTGTTGCATGTTCCGGTGGCCCATGTTGAAATACACCCACCAGAGCAACTCCAGCTTGGTTCGCGCGCACAGAAAAGTTCGGCGCCCGCGACGACGGCCGTGCCTGCGCACAAATGCTAAGGAAGCGCACGGATCTCTGTAGGCGTAGGGAAAAGCATCCAACGACTCAAAGATTGTTGCATGTTCCGGTGGCCCATGTTGAAATACACCCACCAGAGCAACTCCAGCTTGGTTCGCGCGCACAGAAAAGTTCGGCGCCCGCGACGACGGCCGTGCCTGCGCACAAATGCTAAGGAAGCGCACGGATCTCTGTAGGCGTAGGGAAAAGCATCCAACGACTCAAAGATTGTTGCATGTTCCGGTGGCCCATGTTGAAATACACCCACCAGAGCAACTCCAGCTTGGTTCGCGCGCACAGAAAAGTTCGGCGCCCGCGACGACGGCCGTGCCTGCGCACAAATGCTAAGGAAGCGCACGGATCTCTGTAGGCGTAGGGAAAAGCATCCAACGACTCAAAGATTGTTGCATGTTCCGGTGGCCCATGTTGAAATACACCCACCAGAGCAACTCCAGCTTGGTTCGCGCGCACAGAAAAGTTCGGCGCCCGCGACGACGGCCGTGCCTGCGCACAAATGCTAAGGAAGCGCACGGATCTCTGTAGGCGTAGGGAAAAGCATCCAACGACTCAAATATTGTTGCATGTTCAGGTGGCCCATGTTCAAATACACCCACCAGAGCAACTCCAGCTTGGTTCGCGCGCACAGAAAAGTTCGGCGCCCGCGACGACGGCCGTGCCTGCGCACAAATGCTAAGGAAGCGCACGGATCCCAATAGGCGTAGGGAAAAGCATCCAACGACCCCAATATTGTTGCATGTTCCGGTGGCCCATGTTCAAATACACCCACCAGAGCAACTCCAGCTTGGTTCGCGCGCACAGAAAAGTTCGGCGCCCGCGACGACGGCCGTGCCTGCGCACAAATGCTAAGGAAGCGCACGGATCCCTATAGGCGTAGGGAAAAGCATCCAACGACTCAAAGATTGTTGCATGTTCCGACCCCAATATTGTTGCATGTTCCGGTGGCCCATGTTCAAATACACCCACCAGAGCAACTCCAGCTTGGTTCGCGCGCACAGAAAAGTTCGGCGCCCGCGACGACGGCCGTGCCTGCGCACAAATGCTAAGGAAGCGCACGGATCCCTCTAGGCGTAGGGAAAAGCGTCCAACGACTCAAAGATTGTTGCATGTTCAGGTGGCCCATGTTGAAATACACCTACCAGAGCAACTCCAGCTTGGTTCGCGCGCACAGAAAAGTTCGGCGCCCGCGACGACGGGCGTGCCTGCGCACAAATGCTAAGGAAGCGCACGGATCCCAATAGGCGTAGGGAGAAGCATCCAACGACCCCAAGATTGTTGCATATTGGAGTGGCCCATGTTCAAATACACCTACCAGAGCAACTCCAGCTTGGTTCGCGCGCACAGAAAAGTTCGGCGCCCGCGACGACGGGCGTGCCTGCACACAAATGCTAAGGAAGCGCACGGATCCCTATAGGCGTAGGGAAAAGCGTCCAACGACCCGGATATTGTTGCATATTCGGATGGCCCATGTTCAAATACATTTACCAGAGCAACTTCAGCTTGGTTCGCGCGCACAGAAAAGTTCGGCGCCCGCGACGACGGCCTTGCCTGCCCACAAATGCTAAGGAAGCGCACGGATCCCTATAGGCGTAGGGAAAAGCACCCAACGACCCGGATATTGTTGCATATTCGGATGGCCCATGTTCAAATACACCCACCAGAGCAACTTCAGCTTGGTTCGCGCGCACAGAAAAGTTCGGCGCCCGCGACGACGGCCTTGCCTGCCCACAAATGCTAAGGAAGCGCACGGATCCCTATAGGCGTAGGGAAAAGCACCCAACGACCCGGATATTGTTGCATATTCGGATGGCCCATGTTCAAATACACCCACCAGAGCAACTTCAGCTTGGTTCGCGCGCACAGAAAAGTTCGGCGCCCGCGACGACGGCCTTGCCTGCGCACAAATGCTAAGGAAGCGCACGGATCCCTATAGGCGTAGGGAAAAGCACCCAACGACCCGGATATTGTTGCATATTCGGGTGGCCCATGTTCAAATACACCCACCAGAGCAACTCCAGCTTGGTTCGCGCGCACAGAAAAGTTCGGCGCCCGCGACGACGGCCTTGCCTGCGCACAAATGCTAAGGAAGCGCACGGATCCCTGTAGGCGTAGGGAAAAGCACCCAACGACTCAAAGGTTGTTGCATGTTCCGGTGGCCCATGTTCAAATACACCCACCAGAGCAACTCCAGCTTGGTTCGCGCGCACAGAAAAGTTCGGCGCCCGCGACGACGGCCGTGCCTGCGCACAAATGCTAAGGAAGCGCACGGATCCCTGTAGGCGTAGGGAAAAGCATCCAACGACTCAAAGATTGTTGCATGTTCCGGTGGCCCATGTTCAAATACACCGACCAGAGCAACTCCAGCTTGGTTCGCGCGCACAGAAAAGTTCGGCG